CTCACTCAACTATAAGCTGTAATTGGAGAAAAAGGCAAAGACCATGACTATTTCTTTCCCTGGGAAAAAAGAAGTGTTCAGCACTGAAACAGTCTTTAATATTGTACCAATCAGGATATGGTTCAGTTCCTTTAGAGATCCACAAAGCACTGGTTAAACTGTATTTCTCTCAAATATAACAGTTCAAAGTATAAGATGACCAGAGCTAATCTGGTGGCTCCATAGTGTCAAGGACCTAGACTTCTTCATTCTTATTCCACCATCCTGAAAGTATTGCTCTTACCTCAGTGTTCTAGGTGACTTACCTCCACAGCATTCCATCTACCCAGGGAAGTGAAAGAGCTGAAAGGAAGAGCTTGTCGTGGAAGTTACAACCATTTGCCAATTACTACAACATAGTCACGGGACTATGCCACCTAAAAATCAGAAGTTGCTAGTACTATAAGAGAAGGGAAGAATGAATATTGAAGAGCAAATAACATACACATTCATATATGTTCCCACTTAATTTTTTTTAAAGATAAAACAAGTCAAATTTATTAGAGTTGTCCACAGTCAGCAATGGTGATCTTCTCACAGGTCTTTCCATTCTTGGACCCAAAGCCCTCCATGGCTTGCACAACATTCATGCCCTCTTTCACCTTGCCAAAAACCACATGCTTGTTATCCAATCATTTAGTCTTAGTAGTGCAGATAAAAAACTGGGAACCAGCTGGGCTTGGTGGCTCAGCCTGTAATCCCGCGCCTTTGGGAGGCTGAGGTGAGTGGATTGCCTGAGCCCGCGGGTTCGAGACCCACCTGGGCAAGCGAGACCTCATCTCTACAATAAATCAAAAAATCAGCCGGGCGTGGTAGCGCATGCCTGTAATTCCAGCTACTCGGAAGGCTGAGGCGGAAGGATCGCCGGAGCCCAGCAGGTGAGGCTGCGGTGGCCGGGAGCGGCCACTGCACTCCAGTCTGGGCGACTGAGTGAGACTCCGACTCAAAAAAAAAAACAAACAAACTGGGAACCATTTGTGTTGGGTCCAGCATTTTCCATGGACAAGATGCCAGGGCCTGTATGCTTCAAGATGAAGTTCTCATCATAAAATTTCTCCCCATAGATGGACTTGCTGCCATTGCCATTATGGCGTGTAAAGTCATCACCCTGGCACATAAACCCTGAAATAATTGTGAAAGCAGGAACCCTTGTAACCAAATCCTTTCTCTCCAGTGCTCAGAGCACCAAGTTTTCTACTGTCTTTGGAACTTTGTCTGCAAACAGCTCAAAGGAGATGTGACCCAAGGGCTCACCGTTGTCGGCGACGTTGAAGAACAAGGTTGGGTTGACCATGGCTGATGAGAAAAGGCTCAAGGCGGCAGCGTCTGCAAAGCCCTCACTTAATTTTTACAGTAGCTATCTAAACTATGTTTAATATGATAACTGATGTTCAGAGAAACTAAGTAGTTGGCTAGAAAATTGCAAGTTGGGGATCTGAATTTAAAGCTTTTTTTTCACTCTAGTAAAAAGCTTAGGAGGGAATATATAGATATTGTTGAATAAATAAAGTAATGGTAATTTTCATGTATTATAATCTCATGTTTTTATAGTACCATATTGTCTCTTTACTTCCCAGATACTCCATATAGCTTTACTCCTTGCTTCTCACCATTGTGAAATGAAATGCCATATATATGGTTTGCAGCAAGGCCTAGTTTGTAATATAAAGTAAAACAAAATTACTTCTACTTTTAAATCTACAATATTATTTATGAGGAAAAATAAGTCACCATTTATTTTCTAAGCAAAAGCTTGTATGCTCTGTATTTGTTTGGTAATGTGTATAATCATAAAATTGGAAGTTATATCACCCAAACTTGTCATCTTAAAAGCAAAAAAAATCAAGACTACAGAACTTGTCTTTTATTTCATTTCTACCCTACGTGCTTTCAGTCATAATGGGAAACGCTACAGCCTAATCAGTCATTTTTATAGTAACCATCATTGTTATATGTAAGAATTATCTCAGGTTTGCATGGTAGTCCTGATCAGGAAAGTTCTACTGAACAATACATAGGAAATGCATATAATCCTGGCCTGTTTTAGTGAAGAATGGATATTATTTACCATTAAAAGCATAATTTTAGCAGTGGGAAACCTACTTGAGAAAGTGTGACTGTTTTTTGATAATTAAATAAAGGGAATGGATGAGATCATTCCCACCAATGCTTCAAAACCCTATTCAAATAACCACCCACCTCTGAAAGCCTTCTTAAACTTCATAAACAGATGTGCCCACTTTCCTCTCCAATTGGATGCTATAGTCTTTGGATATCTCAGGGTACCCATATACTGTGCTTCAAGTTACAGCTAGTGATACCTTCACGAAGGTAGGTTTAGTGTCTGTTTTTTTCTCACTACATCGGTGGTGCCTAGCACATCTTTGCTCACAGTTGGCACCCAACAAGTTGTTTTTTTTTAAAGAAGGTCTTGCTCTGTCGCCCAGGCTAGAGTGCAGTGGCACGAACATGGTTCATTGCAGCCCCAAACTCCTGGGCTCAAGTGATCCTTCTGCCTCAGCCTCCCAAGTAGCTGAGACTACAGGCACACTCCACACACGAAGCTAATTTTTTTTTTTTTTTTGTAGTGATAGAGGACTCACTAGGTTTCCCAGGTTTATCTCAAAGTCCTGGCTTCAAGTAATCCTGCCTCAGCCTCCCAGATAGCTGGAATTACAGATGTGTGCTACCACACTTGGCAACAGTGAATATTTTATTAAATACACTTATCAACTATGACACCCTGGGAGAATACTTTGCAAATGACTTTAATGAACAATCTTTGAAGTAAGAATTCCAAAGGTCTACTCTAGCTTGTAACACAGCTATATTGCTATAGGCAAGTCATTTAAGCTTTCTGAGCTTTATTGGTCAAATGGGAATATTAATATGTAATAGGAAATGAAGAATTGGTTAAAATACTTAGTACAAGAAACTTTAACTTTAAGGTAGTACTCTCTCTGAATCCCTCGATTCACCCTGCACAGTGCCTTACACCATAATAAATATGCAAACATTTTTCTTGAATTGAATGGCAATGGGATATATTTTATTAAAATCACACTTTGGCCCTAGTAGTCGACAAAGCTTTGTCAGAGCTGGGAACATTTACCAAAGGAAGGGCAAATTATCTCCCTTGCTCATGCTGTCTTTTCTACCCCAGGAAAATTTCATTACTGAACCAAGGGTTCAGTGAAAGAAGCAGCAGCCTACTATCCAGGGATTTTCTTTGTGCTTCTTCCTGGACAGGTACACAACAGGCATTCACAGGGCTGGAGAGGTGGAACAAGAACCCTTTGCCCTCTATTTTGCTTTCTTGTCAGAACCACTGGTTCAAGTAGGAAACAAGGAATTTACTGCCAGGAGGACCAAAGTGAATGGGTGAGGGAGTTTCCAGTCTTCAGAAGAATTGCAGGGAACAAGTTGTTGGAGGGGAGGTGTGATTTACATTCAGCTAACCCTACTATTTTCTGGGCCATCAGAATCTTTCTTCACATAGTAAAAGGAAACCAGCAAGCCAAATCCAGAAATAAAGCAAAACCCTAGCTAGCCATGTGTGTCCAAGGCAGAGATTGCTATAGCATCTACCTCTGGGTTTGGGGAACAAGACTGGCCATGAGTTTTGGGTTTGAGCATGTTTACTATAAATATAAAGCATTCCCCCTGGAGTCTGACACATTTTGTAGAAGTTGTACCAAAATATAGTTGAAACATGACTGCCTCTTAAATTAATTTTATACTTAGCAAATGCTAAACTTAAAAAAATAGAGGAACAAGTAGCTTTAAAGTTCAGAGTATTAATATTTGAAATCTGTCCAACTTAGTTAGCTATGTCCCGGAGACTTCTTTTTCTCTGGTCAGTGATACTGATCTAACACCTAATTCCCTTCTTGGTTGTTAGATAGGAATTAAATGTACCTTGTATTTATTTGTATCAACCTGGAACTAAATGTATTTTCTCAGCATACATTCTTATTTCCAGAAATAGGATGTGTCCATGTTGAATTTACTCTGTAGCTCCTCTTAGTGACATTTGTATGATCTAATTCAAGGACCTGAAGTGATGGCTCCACATGATTTACTTGCATATGATGCAACTATTTTTAGTATTGCATTTACATTTTTAAAAACAAGAATGCACTTCCTGATGGAACAGGCATGCATTTTTAACTCACAGCCTCAAGAACTGTAGAACAAGGAAGTTTCTTAGAAATTGAGTCCCAACACCTTTTTTTGTACTGGAGAGAAAGAAGCTTGGGTCTCAAAAGATTTAGTGACCAAGGGGCAGTTAGTGCGTTAATGTACTATCTAGTAATATTATGGTCCCTGTGACTACTTACGCTTATTTTTCCTTTCCTCTCTGCATACTTATTTTTAATCTCTTATGTATTTTTAAGTGTCCTTTAATACTTTCTTGAATGAACTAGTGTCTAAATAAATGAAGTATTCAAAGTGACACTTTATATTAATGCTAATTGCTTATGTTTCCATAGTATCTATGGCTAGGCAGAGAGCTAGCAACATTAATTATCCTAACAGGATTTCATCTATCAGAGGTAGCAGTAGTAACTAGCTTTCTAAGTAGAAAGCATAAAGAATTAACCCCTTCAGTCTTTAGAAAGTAATGACTTTGTGAACTGCAATAAAAACCTTAGAATTGTTTTTATTAAACCTGGTCAACAATTTAGGAGTATATTCGGTATCTTAAAAATGAAAAATGTCGGGTGTGGTAGCTTAAACCTGTAATCCCAGCATCCATTGGGAGGATTGCCTGAGTCCACGGGTTCGAGACCAGACTGGGCAACATGGCGAGACCTTGTCACTACAGTAAATCAAAAACAAAAATTAGCCGGGCATGGTGATGCACACCTATAGTTCCAGCTACTTGGAAGGCTGAGGTAGAAGGATTGCCTGAGAGAGAGAGAGAGAGAGAGAGAGACATTGGCTGAAATATTACTTGTACCTGGGTGTTTAAAAGAGCATAATGATTTCTGGGGTCTGTTGATTTCTAGCAAGGGTGTCAAGATCATTCAGTGGGAAAAGAATACTTTTAATAAATGGTTGCAGGACTGGATAGCTTCATGCAAAAGAATGAATCTGGACCTCTACCTCACACCATATACAAAATTAACTCGGTATGGATCAAAGACCTAAATGTGAATTCTAAAATCATAAAGTTTTTAAAAGGAAACAGGTGAAAATCTTCATGACTTTTGATTAGGCAACAATTTCTTAGATATGGCACCAGAAGTGGCCAGGTGTGGTGGCTCACACCTGTAATTCCTGTACTTTGGGAAGCCAAGGTGGAAGGAAAGTTGTAGGCCAGGAGTTCAAGTCCAGTCTGAGCAACACAGTGAGAGCTCATCTCTACAATAAATTAGCCAGGCATGGTTGTACACATATGTAAACCCAGCTACATGGAGGGCTGAGGCAGGAGAGTTGCTTGAGCCCAGAAAGTTGTGGCTGCAGTGGGTCATGATTGCACCACTGTACTCCAACCTGGGGAACAGAGCAAGACTCTTTCTCTTAAAACAAAATAAAGAAGATATGGCACCAAGCCACAAAAGAAAAAAAATAGGTAAATTGGACTTTATCAAAATTGGAAACCTTGTATATCAAAAGACACTGTGAAAAGACATCTGTAGAATGAGAAAAACTACTTGCAAATCATATATCTGATAAGAGTCTAGTTTCTAGAATACATAAAGAACTCCTGCAACTTAACAGTAAAAAGTCAAATAACCCAATTTAAAAAGTGGGCAAAGGATTTGAATAGACGTTTCACCCAAAATATACAAATGATCAATAAGCACATCAAAAGATGTTCATTAGGGAGATGCAAATCAAAACCATGATTGGGTACCATTTCACTAGAATAGCTATAATTTTTTAAATGGACTGTAAGACATGTTGGCAAGGATATGTAGAAATTGGAACCCTTGTACATTGCTAGTGGAAATGTAAAATGGTACAGCTTCTATGGAAACAGTTTGGCAGTTTCTCAAAAAGTTAAACATAGAGTAACCATCTGACTCAGCAGTTCCACTTCTAGGCATATATCTGAGAAAATTGAAAACATATGTTCACACAAAAAATGTGTACACAAATGTTCACAGTAACTTTAAAATAACCAAAAAGTAGAAACAACTCAAATGTCCATCAACTGAGGAATTGATAAACAAAATGTTGTATATGCCTACAATGGAATATTATTTAGCCATAAAAAGGAATGCAGTACTGTTACATGCTACAACATGGATAAACCTCAGAAATATTATGCCAGACACAGAAACCATATATTGTATGATTCCATTTGTATGAGATATCAAAATAGACAAATCCATAGAGACAAAGAACAAAATAGTGGTTGCCAGGAGATGAGGGGAGAGTAAAATTGGGACTAACTTAATAGATATGGAGTTTTTTTGGGGGGGGGGTGATGAAAATGTTCTGAAATTAGATAGTGGTGGTGAATTGCACAACATAATGAATATTCTCAAAAGTACTGGAGTGTACACATTAAAAGAATGGATTTTTTTATTTTTTACTTTTTATTTTTTGAGTTGGAGTCTCACTCTGTCGCCCAGACTGGAGTGCAGTGGCCGCTCCCGGCCACCACAGCCTCGACCTGCTGGGCTCCGGTGATCCTTCCGCCTCAGCCTTCCGAGTAGCCAGAATTACAGGCATGCGCTACCACGCCCGGCTGACTTTTTGATTTATTGTAGAGATGAGGTCTTACTGCCCAGGCGGGTCTCAAACCCGCGGGCTCAGGCAATCTGCTCACCTCAGCCTCCCAAAGGCACGGGATTATAGGCTGAGCCACCGAGCCCGGCTAAGAATGGATTTTATGTTATATGAATTGTACCTCCATTGAAAATGCAAAATTTTTTTTTTTTTTTTTTTTGAGTTGGAGTCTCACTCTGTCGCCCAGACTG